TCATATTCTTCACTTTTTAGAATACTTTTAGTTCGAAGATCTCTATGAAACTTTCAATGTTTCTCCAAAAATTATTTTGACATATTGCTATGCACAGCGTACGGATCGGATTAACGAGTAAATTTCCTCTTTTAGAAAGTGGGGGCACAGAGTTCCCCACGTCGTATGGATACGATAGAAAAACGCGATGTACTGATAGAGTTAAAAGCGGGTTGAAGGGTTCGTGAACTCTATCCTTTAATTACTGACCTCAAAGCTTCGACATTTATCTCGTATTATGCATGACAATTGGTGAAATAGCATAGGTTTAACACCCATCACCCATATCAACACTGTTGGACTATTTAAGAGGCGGGACCTCCGAGTTTAACGTTCATATCCGGCTCCGAAAGGATCGAACCAAGTGGGAAATTCGTGTAAAATGCCTTTCCTAAGGACTCAATGTCGGAACATTATGCACGTGTATGTTAACATGACATAAATGTTATTTAGTGACTTTGACTGATCTCACACGCTTTTGAACTCACACGCTCGTTATTTCGTGACGCTTATCTCATAAGTATTTACACGAGTTATTTCGTAATAATATATTGTTTATTTATCTCAAAGTTAGGTGAATTCGTACTACTCCTATTTCGTGATATTTATACACATATAATTTCATGCCATTGTTCTCATAGAAATGTGAACGTACACATACACGTATAATTTTGTGACGTTTTTGTCATAAGAATGTGAACTGATACACTTAGAATTTGGTGAAATTGTTCTCATACAAATGTGAACTGAAACTACACGTATAGTTTCGTGACATTTATGGCATCGGTGTGTGAACTAATACACGTATCATTTCGATACTTTTATGTCATAGTATGTGAACGCATACCACATGTATCATTTCGAAACATTTAGGTCAAAGGTATCTGAGCTCATACACTTATAATTTCTTGATATTTGTGTCACAAGTTTTTTTGAACTCATACACATACAATTTCTTGACATTAATTATGTCATAAATATGTGAACCCATACACCTATGATTTCTTGATATTTGTGTCACAAGTTTGTGAACTCATACCACACGTCTCATTAGGAAACATTAAAATATATGTCATAGGTAAGTGAACTCCTATACGAAACATGACTCTTCACTTTGACCTCACTCGTGATTACCTCAGAATGTCACGAGCAGAGAGCCGTGAGTCGCCATGAGCTGAGAGAGCGCGCGCAGCTCCTTCCTTCACAGACATCATTGCCTATTTACCCGCCTTTTCTCTCCGCAACCTGATCGTCACACCAGGGCAAACTCGAAGCAGTTGTCTGCCCTTGTCAACAAGGGCAGCGACCCTGGCGCAAGTACGTTATTTAACAACAGCCCGTCTCTGTCTCTGTTCGCGCTCAAATCCCCCATCGCTCTGCTCAATTTTTAGGTACATTGAGCAACAGAAAAACAAGTGCTAAAGGGGAATTTAAATATGCGAATGTGTTTATTCTTGTACAAGAAACAGTAGGGTTGAATAGAAAAATAGTATTTTGGAACGCCCTTTGTTTTTACTTCGCTCACAGTCTCGAGATCTGTGAGTTGGGATGTGGGAGGATTTTGTTGTGTTTCCTGAAGGTTTTAAAACCTTATTTGTTGTTGTTGTTCTCTTAAAGGTTCACATTCTTTCTATTTGTGCTAGCAGAGAGAAAGAAAGAAAGAGAGAGAGAGAGAGAGAGAGAGAGAGAGAGAGAGAGAGAGAGAGAGAGAGAC